AGGTTGTTTTGGGCTTGACAGGTGAATGAATTAAGATTAATCACACTGTGTTCCCTTATTGTAATGGGATGAAGCAAATCCCTCCAAAGGCAAAAGCTGGATCAAGAGTTGGATTTATTAGCTCACTTACATTCCCCACCCACATGTCGAGGGCTGTGCTGTTATGTTTATTCTTGGCTGTTGCTCGGAGAGCACATTTTTTAAGGTAGATGCAGAGACTTTTGTTAGTCATTTTTGGGACTCTTGAGTAAGCCGTTACATTCTATGTCTATGGCAGAAATAACAAGAGCTCCCTGCCCTCCCCGACCCCCTAAACTTCAGCACAGTGCGTGGTGGTCAAGCTGACAGTGGATTTGTGCAGGGTTCTTGGTAATCAAAAGGCTCAATAAATAATTTTTTTTTACTCCGCCAGTTTCTGGATTATTTTAGTTTTCTTACAATTCTGATCATGCATCATAGGACTGCAACAATGAGCTTTAAATAAGTATTCTTTGTGCACAGTAAAATAGAAATAAAGGAACATTTAACAAGTTAGCATTTCATCATGTACATCAGATAGTAGGCACAATAGATAACTCAAGCAGCTTGGTTTTTATGTAGCGCGTTTTCATGAAGAGTGTCATGTAGACCAAAAAAATAAGAGGAGCTATTAGTAACCCGCCCACACCCCCTCCAACAAGCCCTTTATTGGGGTAAGGGGGTGGGTATGAACACAGAACAGTAGGAGGACAAATTAAGTTACTGTAGGCAGCAGTGTGAATATTAAAAACCTCTTCCTGTGAAAGAATACTTCAGACCCTGTAAAAACTGGTTCAGTTAAAAATAGATGTATTTACATTTAAGTCTGATCTAGCAAGTCTTCCCAGCAGGTGTAAGTTAAGATGTACAGTAACTCTGCAGGTTGTACTCAATCATCTGACTTGATTTGTGAATGTTTTTTTTTTTTAAAGTTGCAGCTATTAGGCCTTAAAGCACCAGCGTATTACAGTGGTGGATGAGTCATTATCTCCGTCTGCTTTGCTACCAGTACACTGCTGGGGTAAATCCCAAACCTGTCATTAGATCACACTGTTGTTAATTAAGATGGTTTTTTCCAGCTCAAGATGTGTGGGTCATTTACCAGGGCGAGATTGTTTACCCAGATACTCACATGTCTTACCTCTACCCATATCACTAGTTAAGTACGCGAGGGCAGAATTTAGCTGTAGGTGTTTGCAGCCGACTGCTGCTATAGTAAAATATTTGGACAAATCCACCTGTTTTAGTTCATACGAACATGCTTTGTTTCTGTGAAGCCACTTATGCTACTTGTTCAGGGAATCACGACTATTAAAATGCTAAATATTGTCAAGGTTAGCTCTTTGGTAAGCTTTGACGCCTGTAGATTACACAGCCTCTAACGCTGGGTGCAATGGTCGGATGGCTCAGTGTAACTCTATGCAGAAGGAAGCGTTCATTTCACCATGCCAGTCAAGATAGTTATTTGTTTTATTTGGTTATCGTTCAACAACAAAGTTCAATACTTTCCAGGTGGAGCGTTGAACTGTCCCTCTGGTTCCCTCCCTTGTCAATAATAAAAAGGTAATGAAGAAAAATCCTGTACTTTTAGAGACCTAAAACCTCATTTATGCTAACAAGCTTCAATTGCAATTTAATGTTACAATATTTCTTCATGGGAGCGAGGAGGACTAAGCTGAGGCCCCTCCAGTGTCTGAAGATGGCTGTCCACAACCACCATTAAAACAAAAAGCTAGTGTTGAAAAACGCACAGTTTACAATAAAAAAGTAGAAACCAATTCAATTCCCTTTTGTTACGAATATAAAGTTTCTTGTAAATATGTACAGTCCTTTGAGCTATTTCTATAGCAGGAAGCATTTCACGAACAAGACACAAGATATACACTTTCAGGACTCAACAAGCCCATTTCTGAGGTCTTGAAGATCTTCCATGAGATGCAAAGATTTAAAGACTGATCTCAGTGACCTTTCAAAATATTCAGACTAGGAGACAAAAACTTTCACCAAGTTTCCTGCCAAATCATCTGATCTAAAATAACCCAACAGACAAGAGAACAGAATACAATATTCATGAAACTCGCCAAAGGACACTGACAAGGCATTTGAATTGTTATGGGTTTCTAGAACAGGTTAGCACAGGCTTGCAAGGGACTAGCAGAAGTTTAAGAGTGTGGCCAAGGGAAGATTGGATGCAGTTTTGCTCTTTCTAGTTGTAAAGAACATGGTTGTTCACTTAGAATGTTGCTATTGCAGATTGGATGGTCAAAACCTGCTTTGAAAATCATTTGCTCTCTGCTTCATGTTCACAGCAAAAGAGAATAGAAAGCAATAAATGGCTCGAGGTTAGATACGCAGAAGCAAAGGCGAAGGCGTGTTCAGTAACCGCTAAAGCTGTTCATTGTGAGTATCCTCTTGTGCCGTGACATTTGGTTCTTACTGTACGACTTGTTACAGGTCACGGGAAGAGCCAGCCCTGGGCTGCTCTTCCCTCTGGGGAGCCCGGGACTGTCAGGACCACGGTGTCATGTCTGAAGGGACCATGTTCAGTGCTGAGAGGAGAACACAAGTGTACTGTAATTCTTGTCATAGAATAAGGCTCGTTAACTCCTCGATGCCAAATTTCCAGAGTAATTAACGGTTATTTTGCAGCATAATCTAAAGGTTTCAGTTAATTTACAAGTGAGGTACACTACACTACTCAGCAAAGCAACCTAAAAGGAGAGAGCAGCCAGTGATGGTGCAGCAGCATGCAGTGAACTGTCATGCAGAAGACCTGGATAAAGTCTTACACCCCAGTAGCTTATCGGTAATGCACTTTGTCTCAGGGCCGGGCACATGGGATCGTTTAAAGCGGGGTTCTTCCCTCCCCATCAGAGCTGCTCTAGAGCAATTTTAGTGAGAACAAAATAACTTTCAGAAGTGGCAGGTGAACAGACTAATCAGAAGTCATTTTTCTTGTGTTCTGTAGAGAATATCCAATCACACCTTCTATTGAAAGACTCGCTCACCTTGGCCCTTCTGTTTCCAGGCCACCAGGCGTTCCCAGCATGTCTCAGAACTGTGATCAATTATCTGGTAAGGGGTGCTAACCACATTAAAGACCTGGGGTGGGACTCTAGTCCCATGTAATTTCTTTGATGAACTACTAGGGACTAAAGCGAATACAAAAAGTTCATGAACTGCTTGAAAGAGTAACAGTAGTACAAAGTGCAAAAACAGGAGTGCAGGAAAGTGCAGAGAAATTAACTGAGATGCGAACAATCTTCAAAAGCGTCATGTCTCCCGATGCAGAGCTAGCTGTGGCCCAGGAATGCTGTTTTGGTAACTGGGCAGCAGACATATGGAGTGCATATACTCAGTATATTTCCTTTTTTTTCCTGCAGGTCAAGATGAGTAACTTTGTCTAGCTGAGACTTACACTGAAGACTGGTCCCAGACCTGGCAGGGAAATAAAAAGACAGTTACAGGTTGCACATATTTTTCTCACATATGCACAGGTGCCAGCAGCAGTACATCACCTAACTACTGCTGCTACCGCTGAGCAAGTGCTGTATGCCTGCTTGCTTCTAGGCGGCATAATTCTGACAAAGGCAGGTACTACCAGCATCACTGAACACAGCAGGCTCCCACATTCCTTTCTCCAGACATTGTCCCCCTTCAGGTCCTCAATAACTCGATTTCTGTTTGCTTTCAGATCTGGAGGACTTTAGCCTGTTCCAGAGTCAAGCTGCTTTTGCAGTTACAGAACTAGCACAAGGGAAGGCGTTCACAGGGCCAGTGAGTTACAGCGTATGTGCTCTGTTTTAATAGAAGTTGAGGGGGGTGAGATTTGATTTGCTCTTGTACTCCACAGTACCGCCAGCTCTTCTGCAGTACATGCCTTTACCTGAGAAAAGAGAGAAGTGCCCCTGGCTCCTGACTTACTTTATTGACTTGAGCAAGAGGAGTTCTGGCACCGCTCACAGGCATTCGTCCTCGGCTGCTCTCTTCAAACAGCCTTCCAGGGGACCTTTCTCTGCGGGTGCTCAGGAGCCGGCCTGGAGATTTCTCCCGCTCCAGTGGTCGCCCAGGTGACTTGTCCCTCCGCAGCTCTGTCCTTCCCTCGCGGTACCGATGTGGTGTGCTTGGTTCTCGAGGGTGGCTTGGACCTTCCGGTGGTCCTGGGCTTGATGCTACCCGCTTGGTTATGTGCTCGTTGTATGTGGGCGGACCTCTCTTGTTAGGGCTACTGTCATTCAAAAATAATGGACGCGAACAGCTGAGCGACAAAAACCTCACGTTACATTTTCTTTTAGCAAAAATGTAACTTTCCCCAAACACCCAGCATCAGACCTCCCTGAGCCAAGATATTTTGATAGCTGAGTATTCATTACATTAGCCACACTAGTAAAGTGCCTTAATGAATTCCTAATGTAAGTCATGTCTATGTATAGGCCACAAAACTACTTCAGCAGTATACTTTTCCATATAAAAGTACACTAAAATTTGATATATGCCTTTTCACATACAAAATTTTCAGTAGCTCCAGCATGTTCAGGCCAGGTTAGGATGACCTACAAGCCTCAATTTCTCAGTTTCCAGCGCACAGTGGCACTGTCAACCCCAGTATTTATTCACCTGGCTGAAGTATCACCGTTCTGCTGAACAGAACAAGATCGTATCACAACTTCCCAACGCCATCTCCCTAAGGCATAGTCATTATTTAAGAGGAAGGGGCTCCTGCTTTAGAGCATGTTACAGTCAATCGATGTTTAGTGTCATATTAATAGCATCTAAGCTCACCAAGCTTTGAAGTCACAGCTATATCACAACATAAAAGTAAACTAGCTGAAGATGACAAAGCGTTTGTGGAGGAGATTACCCACATATTCCTACAGAGCTAATGTTTCTTCGCCTTCTGGATTTTAAAACATCAGTGACTCTACTCCTTGTTCCATTCCAGTGTTACAATAGCTGGCTAACGCCAGCCTCTATCTCTAAGAATGGAACCAGGGCATCCAACATTTCCCCCCCATTTGGGGGGAAAAAGCCATCTGGAGCGAAGTTTGCTTACGAGGTGCGCAAGGACCATAACAGAGGGACTTCATCATACCTGCGTGTAGCAGAAGATCCTCTGTGGTGCTGCTCGTTGTTGGTCTCCTTCACTAGATTGCCCTTACAGCAAATCACCCTTAATTTGTCTTGGTAGGAGGAAGCCAAGTAGATAGCTCCAGATGAAATGGCAGGCCCTAGATACCGCGGATTTGGTATCTCCAAGTGGGCTCGTGCAGGAGTTCTGGATAAAATTGCAGGAAAAAGTCTTTACTATGACAACACTGTCCCTTTTCCGGGGAAGTACACATATTCTTGCAGCACGTGCTGTTCAAAGTAATGAAACGAGAACAACTTACCCTAGAGAAGCTCGTGCCTGAATCTCGATCACCTCAAGGGAATTGAAGTGGGTCACAAACAGATAGGGCTCCCTGTAGGCTGAAGGAGCATCACAGAGGGAGGAAAAATACAAAATAAAATTCTCTATTAAAAACTTCTAAAAAGCATCAGTGAGCACAACAGAGCCCCACAGCCCCTTAGGAAAATTAAGGGAATATATTTTCTGTAATAAGACATGGACACTATTACTAAATAGGGAGATGCAAGCTTAAGGAATTGTTGCTTTGAAACAATCTGTATCTCTAGAATTTTACTAACCAAAAATGGTGAAAGAGGCAATAAATACAGACTCTTAACTGAACAAAATCCCACTAGGTAGTACGAAAGGCCAGAGGGAACCACACTGACATTATATATTCTTGACTATTTCAGAAACTTCCAAGCATCACTAAAAATTCCACTAGCCAGTTCAATCACTGTCAGACGAGGAACATTAAGGAAATATAACTTTGGTTTAGTTTTCCTCAAATTGTTTATACTTCAGAAGGTTTGCCATTTGGATTTATAATTATCTTAAATCATGGGAAAATCTCCACAGTTTCTGGGAGAATTGGGAGAGGGAAGAGGAAACGGAAGCGCTGAGTGAAGAATACCTGTCCCACAGGGTGCTTCCCAGTTTCAATAATTTCCATAATCCAAGTGAATGTCCCTCAACACCTACCAAAAGCTAAGGGCAAGCGATTCCATTTCAGGTCATCTGTCCTACTGCGTCTTCCATAGGAATCCACAAAGACACCGAACTCTGCCAAGAAAAGTAATGTCACGTCATGAGCATGTGCCTGAACTTAATTCATTTATTTTTGAAGTGACAAAGGCAATTTACCCTGGGCTTTTTAGCAGGGACAGGGTGCTTACTATCTTGCAAATCCTAGAGTGCTGCCAAGTACTCTAATTGACATTGAATTGGCTACATGTAGGAGTACTTTCAGTACCGAAAGTTATTGCAATTCCAGGTCTCACTATACCAGTTAAGGTAAGGTTATTATTTAATCTACAGTTGGGAAGACTATGCGACTCCTACTATAAGTCACCCAAAATTACTGCTAGTGAGCTGCTGAAGACTTCCTGTGCATCTCCATGACACTATCCTAGAGGGCCAACAAAAGCAGCTATACAAAAAAATAACACCCTCTTTTATTTGATCACAAGAAGACTAAAAAGTCTCATCTGTCTCTATGGAAACCAGACAAGAATGCCGAAGTTTGAAAAGCCCTTAACATTTTATCTGGATAATCAAACACCTGCTTGCACTTAACATTGACTACAATCCCTTCCCTTTAGTCACAGAAGCCTGCTGTGGCAAGTGATCCACAGGCACGGAGAACTTTTAAGCCAGAAGCAAGCTGACCAAAAGCACCTCAACAAGTGCTGTTTTAGTGCCAATGCCCTGTGCGTCTTACTGTTTAAACCACCAGCCACAACTCTTCCAGGGCTTTTAGATTCACAGTCTTCAACAAATCGTCGTTACCAGGTACTCGAAAGTCATCTCCATTCAGCGTTCCTTCCAACAGTACTTGGGTACCTTCTGGCAGTTCACGAACCAGAGCGAGCAGATGTCGTGCAACAACTGCACAACCATACCACACACTTACCGTGGAAACACAGCAGGTACTCCTCCCTCTGCCCCGTTGGGTTCACTTGGATGATACTGACTGGAAAACTGTTGGTGGAAGCAGCAAACACAGCAGAGGCCAAAGTGTGGTCGTTTTTGTCCAGAAACTCTGCAAAGAGAATGGAGAAAACCAGCCTGATCAGCACCAACTTTTTTTTTCTAAACTGCTTTAGAAAAGCCCCACCAAAGGTATCTGTGGAGCCACTTGGTGCGTTCCTCAGGAAATGTCTCCTACCCTCCAGTGTATACTGCTTCATCTCAATTTCATAGAACTTGTTGGTTCCAATGATGATGCTGTAAGTGGTCAAATGGATGCAGCTGCAAGGCTCAGAGGTTTCGATCTCCTGAAAAAGAGGAGGAAAGTTCGGACCAGTATTAGTTCCCTATAACACTTTACAGATTTTTCTTATTTTGGAAGATTTGCCACATTTATTGCTTGCAACCTCAAAGTCACTAACTGTCTCTCAAAAGCAAAGTATGTCTGCTGTTAACACTTACGAAGTTAGCTTGATGGCTCCTTAAGCAAAAAGGAAGACAAACATACATCATCTTCTTTCCTTCTTTGTACAACGTAACACAGATGTGTTGTCCACCAAGATTTGTATTGTCATTGAACAGGTAGGATAGCTCTGTGGGTTAGCCTGACGCAACACACAGATCCCGAGATCTTCTGAGGACAAGATTCCTTGCATAATTCCTAGTTTATCTGGAAATTTACTTGGCAGAACAGAAAAGCATATTCTGGGCTTGCTGCCATCTTGTTACGATCTAAATTCAGTTGTCTGGATTAGTAAAGACAAGGAAAACCTGCCTTCTGAAACACGCTTTTACATGTTTTGCATGGAAGCCCTTGGCAGTATGGAGGTGAATGGCAGCACTAGCAGAGGACGGTGACTGTACGTCTTCAGTGTTTCCTGCCGGCTGCTGCTCCATTGTGAGCGAGAGTTGGTATCAGCTACAATGCTTGTAGATGTTCCAGGTTTGCTGGCATCCACATTGTTTGTGCCAAGATCTTCTCCATCAAACATGTCTTTACTTTCAAGGAGGCCAGCATCTGAATTACTGTGCCGACGCTGGTGCCTTACAGCAGTGCCAACGTAGCACTCGGTGGGGATAAAAGCCTCAGTCAAGCGGTAAATTGAACCGGTGCCTTCAACATAACCTGCAGAAGCTCACAGGGATATGTAGTTTGACCTGAACATCCCTTAATCTGTGAATTGGAGAGGACATGCGTTTCTAGGTACCAGCCCATTTTAAGGCAGGGAGTGTTTAAAGTCTCTGTTCTGAGGGAAGATCCCTAATATTTTGGTTTTTTCTGGATGTGTATGAGCATATAAAATTTATTCATGACAATTCATTGGACTTGCCTTCAAGAGGAATAGTGGGTTAGATGCTCAGAGTATTATCTGCCTGCAATTGGCTGTCTGAAGAAGAGTTGCCGTAGTTCTGCTTTTCATACCCATGCACGGCAGAATGAAGCAATACACGTACCAGTACCGTACAGTACCGGTGTTGCAGGTGGACAGGGTTACATACAGAGGAGGTGTACACACAGCCACATGAGATCCACATCTTACTGCCCTGTTTGCTGGCCAGGAGAAAGTACATGTATATCAGGGTAAGTATGGGAAACAGCTGCCTATCCTGTGATGGAATCATACCAAATACCCTTTGATTTTCACTGGTACAGTAAATAAATTCAGATACTCATTGCTTCCTTAATTGCAAAGAAGAGAAAAGTCATTTGTTATGGATTTCTCCAAAGACAACAGAGGTGAGGGAACACTGCTGGACAATTAAGAAGAAAGCCTTTTCTGGGTAAATAAGCGAGGGTGTGATTACAGCTGAGTCCAGTATCTCAGAAAAGCATAGTTCTGTTCTGCATCTCTCCAAATATGCCAGCTCTTATTAAAGGAAATTGCTGCCTACTCCAATTTTAGTCAGTGCATGTTGCAATTTGTTATCGTTTTAGCTGACAAACAAATGTTCTTATGCATGCAAAAAGATTTAAGATGTTTGCTCCAAAGCAAAGTCTTAGTGCAATCTGTGAATTACCTTAGCTACTGAAGGGAATTACTAAGCTCACCTTTCTGATACAGAACTTGCTCAAGCTCTCATTGTATCGCAGAACAACCACTTTATTGGGCATGGCAGCACAGATACAAAGACCATTCTCAACCTGAAAAGAAGATTACAAGCATAGTTCAGGATGGTAATACAGAGTAAATTCTAATGCTGAGCGTGTGAAACGGCTCTGAGTACCTCTTGCCACAAAAAGAACTTTGCAGAGATAAGCAAGTACATTTTTTAATAGGGTAGTTACTGTGAATTAGTGTAATAATGAAAAGCCTCTTCACATTCTCAAAAAAGAACGTGAATTTGAACTGCTTCTATGATTTCTTTTATACTTGAAAGAAGTTAATAAAAAATTTGAAGATTTTCAACAGAAAAATGTTCCATTAAAAGGAATAAGAAATTCACACAGGTTAGGTCTAAATTTTAACCCCCGAAACTGTTATCTTAAACATCACCTTGAAATGAATGATGTTCAGTTTGTAATCAAAGTAGTCTGTAGAAGTAATTGTTAATGAGAATTTTTGCTGTGGCTAAATGTTCCATACTAAAACTGGGAATTAATGTAAATATCAAGTGTTATCAAGTGACGCAAACACCTAAGTAAATTTGCTAGCCTGGAAACTGTTACATGACATTCAAGAACAAACAGTGGATGGAATTCACTAATTATAAATCTAAAAATTGAAGTCAGCTGTGAGGAGGCAGTTATACTATGCTATGCTATATTTCTTATTATGTAGCAGTTTAGACTATACCATCATGTCATCCTGACTGAATTTATTCATATTAGTAGTAGATCCTCCATACTGGCTCCAGCTTAGCCTCTCTTCAGCCCCTATACTCTTCTTATTTGAAGAAAAAGATTTAAAAGAAGAATATAGACCTTGGATTTGTTGCCAGTGAAATAAAGGTGCTAATTTCATTAATATTAAACTCAGTGCAGTATAAAGGGTGGTCTGGGGGCATGAGGGAGCTGTATCCTACCTTTCCAGCAGCAAAAAGGTGACATCCTTTGACAGCCTCAAAGATGTTTGGTGAGATATCAGGCTGGGCTGGGAGGTGAGACTGGGCTAGAGATTGCTTCACTTTCTTTACATCAACAAGACACAGAGCCCTTTCTTCTCCTGGAAACAAAAATGGTTACATTTTGTCAAGGGAAAACTCCCTGTTCTCTACAAAAGTCTGTTGTTACCTAAGCAGCAGCTTATCATTACAGGCTGTTACTGTGGTAACAGTCACAATGTACCATGTAGAATTCATTCCATATTATTCCTATTAAAAGTGAAACAGAAAACTTAGAAAAACCCAACCACACAACAGGCAGTGAATCCACTGGGAGAACAACCATTCTCTCTGTGGATTATTAGTGTTGCTAAGGTCTAGTAGGTCACAATAACAGTGGCCTCATTAGGACACTATTCAAAATTAGCCAGGAAGTCTCATTTTACCCTTCAGAACTTCTTAAAGTAAAAGGTGCTTTAGCCTCTCTGTGCCAACAGAACCGGCAATGGATTTCCAAGAAGTGCCCTAATAAATCGCATTATAGGCCAAGCCCAATTCCTCTCGGAAGTCTAGCGATACAGTAACATAGCCTTCTCCTAATTTTGCGTGAGATTTTCTTTTTCCAATTGCTTTTTTCTCTGCCACCCTGAAACAAATCAAGCATGGACAGCTTAAATCCTTACAAGGGGAAAAATGCAGAACAAACAGAACAAGAGAGAGAATTTGTTTTTCACTCCCTACAAATGTCATATAGACACTTGATAATTTGGGCTTTCAGATGAAGATAAACCCTAATGTTCAGCATGCCTACCTCAGTGCAGGAAGGGATTATCTCTGGAACACCACAGATGGAGAAATTAAAGCTAGTTTTCCTTTCATAAGGGAATCTTAAATAAACCATGAAAGAAGTCCCAATTTTGTTACATGGATTAGTGTTTAGAGCAAGAGAGGTGAAGAGTTGCTGGCCCTAGGCCACAGTGATCACATTGTGGTCCTCAAATGGTCAACGACGTTAAAAAGAAAGGTTATGTAGTGATTAGGAAAAGAGATGCTCTCTGATCAGCTCAACACTTTTAAAATTGAACTTAAAATGACGACTAACCCCTAAGTTGAAAATGTTTTGTCTCTGGTTCCTCCCTCCCTCAGCTTTGGAAACTGGGAAATCACTTTCTTGTGAAGGTTTAACTGAGCCTTCATTCACATATTCATTTACAAGAAAGCCTCAGACAATACTGTGCTAACCACAGTAATTGATTCCTGACAATATGCTGATGAAAAAAAAAAAAAAAGGCTGTAATGAATCCAGAGGAAAGCCCGGCACTGCAGCACTCCTAGCAGTACAAAGGAATTACCATACATTTACTGCAGGACAAATGGTAACATATAGCCCCCTACCTGCTATCATGAGTAGCTTCTCCAGATCCTTGATGAGGTGAATTTGGAAGACAGCACCCATTCCTGGGATGTGCGTTAGGGAATTCTTCAGTACATTCAGGGCATAGAGACCTTCTTCTGCACCCACCAGTACTACCTACAGTGACAACACGAGAAAAATAAAAATAGTCCTTACATGAGGAGAACAAGGAATGCTCCAAGAGCAAACTTGGACAATACTGTTTACCAGTGAAGAGAAAAAACAAACCAACAAACAAGTATATAATTACACATATTGCTCTTAAGAGACCCTTTCCATGAATGAAATATCCAATACGCAGAAGGGCCTGACTGAATATTATCATTACCTGGTCACTGAAGGGCATTGTGCAATTTATATCCAAACGGTCTTCACCCTCTAGCTTCAGCAGGGAGTTTCCAAGCAATTTCTGCAAACAACAAAAAGATATTTTTTTTTGGTTAAGTTAATCTTTATCTCTTTTTCTATTAGTATTTTAACAATGTAAGGTCATAATTTCAGACAGGCAAAAAGCTTGGCACACATTTTTTTGTCTCAGAAAGCTAAAAATTGCAGGGATATTGCCTACAGAAGAAATAGTAAACATTTATCTACCTGAAACACAGTCAGGCAAACTGATCAGAGTTAACCTAAACTCTGTCCCTATCCTTTCCATTTCCCCCAATCTCCTGCTTGGAGCAGTGAAATTTTCCTAGGGGAAGGATTAAAAAAAAGTCCAAATGTGGTGGGAGCATGTATTTTCCTCAGAGAAAATAGGAATGCCAGCATGAGAAAAGAGATGATTTCCTGCTAGTCAGATATTCCCTACCTCCAGAGCTAACATTCTAATATGCGATGCCATAGAATCAGATCTCCCTTTATCAGAAAATAGAGAGTTATCAGTGCAACAATAATGAAAAAGGCTATCCAAAACAAAAACAAATCCATTTAACCTCTTATTCTTACCAGGAGTAAAACTTAAACTAAAAAACACACACACGCACCCCTCCCCCCCCAAGAAACAAAAAACCCCTGACTCCGTAAGAATGGGAGAGGAGGGAGCTTTTTGCTTGTTTCTTATGTGGTACATTATGAGATTGGATTTAAACCATGTCCTAACTGCTCTTTCTTCCTGTTCTGTTTGCTGGAATTACAGAGCTACAAATTTGGGATCCTCTTACTATACTCCCCAAGTCTAAAAAAGGGTTTGTAATACAAAGCATGTGTCTCACAATGAACTAGTTTCCTGGTACTCATATTGTACATCATAAGGCAGAAGTAATAACTTACCTTCAGTTAAAGCTCAGTATGTCAAATACCGAAAAATTATTTTTCAAAACTCTGCTCCCTCCCAGAATATTTTATTATTAAAATGAAACTTTTATACTCACAGCATCAGCCTCAGCTTTTTCTCTGGAAACTCTCCCACCTGCCACTATTGATTCCAGTGCTGTGACCCAGCGCTGTTTGTCAGGGAAGCTGGGTGCTAACAGGTAGAGTGTTCTACCAGGCCAGCAAGTGGTGTGTGGATGAGACTCCAATTTTAGGATATATGGCACATCTGAGATGTTATATAGATAGAATAAGACTTAGATTAGTTTTTGGAATATTGTCAGTGGACTTAAAATCAACACCTTTCAGCCTCATTGGAGAGAAGTTGTATTCATCATGACGTGTTACCATGGCAATTTATACATAGGTTTCTCCTTTACAGGTCCTGCACAGGCTAGCTACTTAAAGCTAAATATGGATGCAATCCATACATACAATGCTGTCTCTACTAAATAAAAATAATTTCTTGCCTTTTATTCAAAAGAGAAAGAAATACCATTGTGGAAAAAAAGTACAAAAACAGCCACTTGACTAAAGTTTTCCCTGTACTGTTCAAGAAAAATCTGTAAAAATTGGTTATGGAAACCTTTGTTTTTAACAGTCTGTATCCTTTAATGTTAAAGTCAAGACATACATAATCTTTTCATCAGTTCTATTCAATACATACAAATCAAAACATCGACATTTTTTCATAATAAGAGACTATACACCCCACAGTATTTCTAAGTTAATGACCTTCTGGTTAGAGCACAATGGTGGCATGTATTATGACACTTCACATTTGATAGAGAGCATTGAGAGAAAAAATTTAAATAAACCGAGTGCTTTTAAGTATGTTACAAAACTCTTAAAATTTACTTCCATTTGGCTTGATGATTATATTATTCACAGTTCAACTACCATGACAGAAGCAACCGCCTATGTCTAACTAAATTTAGATGACTGACCTATTCACCTAACTCAAATAGAGGTAACCTCAAAATTACACAGTTACAGAGTGAAAGTTAAAGGGAGAAAATTCTGTTCAGCCGAACAGAATGTCAACTGATGGCAAGCCAGATGAAATCCATTTGACCTCATCTACGTAAGATTCTCACCTGTCTTTGCTGTATTGGTAAGTTCAGTAGCTCCTACAGCTCCGTGAACAGTTACATCACCATCAGGAAGGCAGAGCTCAAATTCCTCCAGAGGCCTCTGTCCAGCTGCAGGGAGAATGGGGAGGCAGATTAAGAAAGAACAACAAACATAAATAGCAAGAAAATAATTGTGATAGCAAAATGAAGTGCGTACACACTGGATGTTTCACAGCTGGATTATTATGACATACCAGCTAGTAAAACTGTTAACCGTCTAGAAAAACAACAATGTTGCCTTATTATAGAAGATTTAGCTAAATTAGGTATGGCCACAGCAAACAGTAACAATCTTTAAGCCTCTCAACTCAGGAAACAATATCTGAAGATTAAAAAAAATGTTCTTCCTAGAAATGCTAAGTTACCTTCTCTTGCTTCTGCATCATAAATGAGCACTTTCGTTCCCTCCAGGACAATATACTTCCTGTCCCAGCCCTGTTGCCCACGTTTATTATTCCTAAAGAAAATAAGCACAAAGCCATGTTGGATTTTCTGCTTGGATTCTGAATAAAACAAGCATGCAACTCCTAGACAGACAGATTTCAGTGGCAATAAGTAATTGTAATGGGCATGTACCGATTATCACATTGTAAGAGCCAGGATAATATAAGGAACGGATCCAAATGTTTTAGCACCTGATATGGCACAAAGATCCATGTTTATACCTGTCGTGGTTTAATCCGGCAAGCAGCCAAAACCCACGCAGCTGCTCACTCCCGCCCCCCCCCAGCGGGACGGGGAGAGAATCGGAAGGGTAAGAGTGAGAAAAACTCGTGGGTTGAGATAAAGACAGTGTAATAGAACAGAAAAGGGAAAAATAATAACGATAGAACATATAAAATGAGTGATGCACAATGCAATTGCTCACCATCTGCGCTGACCGATAACCAAGTAGCGATCGGTACTTCCTGGATCACGCCTACCATTCATATACTGAGCATGACGTCACATGGTATGGAATACCCCATTGGCCAGCTGGGCTGGCTGTCCTGATTATGTTCCCTCCCATCCTGTGTACCTAGCTCAGTCAGGAGACACGGGAGCTGTCCTTGGACTAGGAGGGCACTTAGCAACAACTGAAAACATCAGTGTGTTATCAACATTCCCCTCATACTAAATCCAAAACACAGCACTAGGAAGAAATTTAACCCTATCCCAGCCGAAACCAGGACAATACCTTGGCACCTTCATCCATCCTTCAAGACGTAGACTGCTGCTTGGCTCCTTCAGCTGCAGACCGGGAGAATTCATTTTATCCCGGCAGAATGCTTCAGAGAAGTGCGTGGCATATTCTGCTGGCAGTCCACAAGTAGCTGGCAAGCAAGTTGAGCATTTTGGGTGACACATCACCTGGCATTCTGACAAAAGGACAGAGAAAAACTTTTGTTAAATGACAAAAAAATCATGACACCACTGCCTCAACTTCTAATGCACAAACCCCAGCTTTTCCAAGAATCTCCTTCTACTCTAAACCATCAAATGTTTTCTAATGTAGAATGTTTGCACCAACTAATTTCAAAGTCTTCATACTTGGTCCTTTCTTCAGCTTTCACTGAAAATCTATTCTAGACGGCTGATGCTTTTTCATTCTACCGTCCAGTTACACTTTGTTTATGAACACACTCTGCTCTTACCAAGACATTTAGATGCTTGCCGTCCAAAGTGCACAGTATCCAGACACACCGCACATTTTGTTGCTCTCATATTTAGTCCCACGTTAAAACGATGTGGGATATTATGATGCATTCGCTCTTTCAGGCGTCGGCTGTACTCTGGAAGGTACAAAATTTATTATCAGGATGAAAACTGTGATAGGGATGAAAATTATAGTAGGTTTTGGCATTTTAAGGCCAAAGTAATATAAAGTGACTACATATATCTATCAAAGCCCTGCTGACATGGACACTGTTTTCCCTTGCAATCTGCAAATCTTAAGCTACATTACCACCTCAGTAATTACCTTATACAGATGCACAGAATGTGCCACTTGAGAATGGACTGCAGAACTGAAATGGCTAGTGTTTGGTGTAGCAAAATTGTGTCAATCAAACGGTCTAAATTTCGAGTCTGCACTCAGCTCCAATTCTTACGATGCGCTAAACTAATCTCTCAACTTTGCTTACAGCTAACACACCCTTCAACACCTATACTGTTGTAATCAATACACAGCAGGCCTTCTTCATACAGCCTTCATGCTAACCATCAGTGCCAGCATATCTTAAAGCATACCTAAAATCCCTGTTAGTGGATCTATATTGAGCAAAGTTTATCCTTGAAATTCAGGGCATGGTCTTTTACTGACGAACATGATTCTCTTCCCTGCCCATGATCTGCCTCTGAGGACATCTCCCCATGCCAATGTTACCCATCCTCATAGCACCCTGTGCCTCCCCAGCTCTCTGTGTTGGCGGGTTCTGGCTTTTTCCAGCTAAAAGCTGGAGGTTTTAGTTCAGAGTCTCTGGGTTCAACACTCACTCTGGAATACTGGTTAACTAAGAATAAATGAGCAGAGCCCTCAATCCTTTAATTTTTTCTGATGATCCTCTCCCCTCCATTCTCAAGGATATGGAAGGGTATCCCCTTTTTCTAGTTAATGGATATTAATATCATCCTTGACCTGGTATCTTCCTTTTATGCCTAACCGAAGTCTTTTCCCTTTACCAAAAGTCTTGATAAAATCTTTCTGCTCAGCAGAACAAATCTGCAGTTTAGACAAGTAAAAATGTTAACTGCTAAGGAAACAGTCATGAATCCTTTTGATCAATGCAGAGAGCAGTACAGAAAACATACTCCTTTGAGAAAAAACATGCTCTTAAAACAATTCATGCTAATAATTACTTTATTGCTGAGGTTTTCAGAAATAAAATACATAATCCAAACAGATAATTTTAAATCAAAAACGAAAGCAAAACTTATCATCTAATATTCCTATCATGAAAAAAATCTGGTTTTGGAGTTTAAAAAAAAGAGATAGCATTCAAATAGCAGACAGAAAAATAGTAACAGAAAAGTTCACCAAGAACCTACCCTCTGGTGTGGAAGATTCCTTCCTGCGACTGGAAGGTGGAGCTAGCAAACTGATCGGAGTAGGCTGATGCTCTGGTGAGCGGACTATGGCAGACATGATGATCTGCTGCCTGGCTGTGGCTGGAGTAGATGGATGAGGGTGGTCTGATATTTTCCGATGAGCAGCTATAGATGAGATAAATGCCACTCATTAACATAACCAATATGAAACACCGGTTCATAGCAGTGGTTCTGTGTAACCATTCAGTTACAACCCACAGAAAAAAGTGTAGCCTTATTGCACCTTCACAGCAGTAGATAAGAATTAAACAACATATGTTACTGCTATAGTCACACACAATTAAAGGCACGTTTTCAGACCAAAAATGTGCGTCTCCTTCCAGATTCATCTTTTCTGTTAACCCCTACCTTCTTCACGAGCAGATCTGAGTTCAATGCGTGTTTTCTGTAGAGCCTCCTCCAGCTCAGCAGAACGAGCCTTCTCCTTCTCCAGTGCCACTTTCAGCTCATTGTATTGCAGGGGAACCTGTGTGGGTAAAGAAGGGTCCTCTTTCCGCCGACTAAACAGGCCCTAGCAACAGAAACACACAGACAACTCCTAACTCCTAGTAAGAGATGGCTTGAACTAGGCAAAGTGAAACTAGCTAGTGGCAGTCCGGCCAGAGGGCCTAATGGTAATTCTGATATGCGTAAGGATGGATTTTTAGTTCATATTGGCACTGGAGATAAAATGTTGAGATATGGATTAACTTAAAAAGGGACGTACATTACCTGTTAGTACTCACACCTTGAGTTTCCGAAAGCATCTAAACAGAGGATCTCAAAATACGTAGTTAAAATTAAATTACTTAATTCAAAATGACAGAACGGCTTATGACAAAGATGCGACACAAGTCACATCGCCTGACTAATCAATCCTATGCTATAACTAAAGACAACCACTCTAGATACACAATATGTTCATACACACATACATACTTACCATCAAAAAAAAAAAAAAAAGAAGCATGGTTAAAATTCTGTATTCCTACAGCCTCACTGAGGTGTAGCTACTGGGTTGTAACCTAAGTATTGTAGGAATGACAACATACTGGAAAAGCCAAAAAGAGCACGTTCTGCCTAGTAAAGTTTGCGTTCAGCAACTCAGAATACTCTTTAATGAGGATACATTTGTGTTGCACAAAGAAAGATAAAACAGAATATTATGAATACACAGCACGTAACTAATCACAAAACCATCATTTAATTCCATGCCTCTCAAACCTTTTTCACCCACCTTTTTCTTTTTCGCTGGTTGGTCCATCTTTGCCTGCAGGAAATCAATGAGTTTGGTTTGCTGAGAAATAGTGCCCTCCATTTTCACTTTTTCATGGGAATAGAGAACCTGTGAACCACACACACATGTAAGAAATTTCATCTTAATAGAAGAAACAAACAGATAACTCAATAGCAGAACAGAGCTAAAAAACAGTATAAGGAAAGTGTCACACAGAAAGAGTAGATCACATCCTAAAACCCCACAGGGAATGGGGTTTTAGGATGGGGAGCACAGAGTGCTGCCCACTGTTTCCTCACCCTCACCTGAATGTTTTCCAGCTGATATTCCAGGTCACTTCTTTCAGTCTTCAGAAGATCTGCTCGATCTAGAGCCTCTTGCAGACCTTGAGTTAGGCGGAAGATGTGATTCTTTTGTAGATCCATTTGCTGCTGCAGCTTTGCCTGCTGTTAACAGAAAAACAAAGGCCAGTGTTTTGGTTTTGTTGTTTGCTTGTTTTTAAATAAAAGCTATTAAATGTTATCATTCCTTGTAAAATAAGCATCATTGCGGAACTTAAAAGTAAACAGACAATTCTTTAAAAGCTTGAAAATTACAATATTCTAGAAATTTTCCTTCCTTTCAGAACACACTATGACTAAACATCCATTTCTACGCAGTGTATTTGTATTAATTTGTAGCAATACCATTTCTTTCAACTGCAACTTGCTTTTTTAAGCATTTTAAATCTTGTAATTTTTAATAAGACTGCACATACATGAAGAATTTCTCAATGCCATTTTCTCAAGCTCTCTATACAATCACCAGAAGACATCTCAGTACTTTGTAATAAAAAAAAAAAAACTTTCCTATAAACCAGGGTAAACTCCTTCCCCTATAATCATATGAGATAAGGAAAATTATGTCCAATTGTTTACATCTTTGTCTCCAACTAACAACAGAAAAGGGCACATGATAAACTGCTCCTAATTCTTTCAGGTTTTGTACTTTGATGAGAAAGTCCCTGAGTATGAAAACCATTAATGCTCATGTTATGAAGCAAGAGCCAGAAATCTCTCACTGTGATGCATAATGGAGTTCTCAACTCCAGGATAACTTGTCAGTACCCCAACTACATCAAAAGGCTCTAATTGCCCTGTCTAATTGCCTGTAAGCACCCCTCCCCTGAAATCCTCTGCAACCTCTTCCCCCACTGTCCAGGTCTGGCTGCCTGCATTCAATGTCTCACTGGTATGGTGCAGGTGTGCAACCTTGGATCAGACTTCTGTGAACCAAGGTAAATTATGAAAAAAGAGCTGTGAGAAGCCTCACCCGTGGCCTCCACCCATGCACCCTCAGCACATTGGCTCCAGAGCTGTCTTTAAGCTATGGTCCTTGCACTTGGTCTGCTCAGAGCTACGTTGTAAGAATGCTGTGCCTTGGCACAGACCTTGCCTTGCAAACCTAACCTAGGATGTGCCTCGTCACTACAGCCTTCTGTAATGATCACTGGGCCGCTGGCTGAACCTGATTATCTTCACCAAACCCGCTCTGCTCTTCTTATTCAGGTACTGTGGGACTGTGCCCACTGGCTGCAAGGTCCCTGTCCTTCCCTGCCTTGCTGTCACCCTTCGCTCCCAGCTCCCCTTCCCTTGAGGGGCGGTTCACTTTTACCGCTCCCCGACATGGCAGCACACTTTGCAAAGTTTTAAGTAAAAACAAACCCCCCAACCTTATTAATGTCCCCAGTTATACAGAAGAAGGATGGATGTGTAACACTGCTATTCACACAACTTCCCACCCCTCACGATGTGGAACCTTCTTCTGAAGCTATAACATGAATTTCCAAGGTTACCTCCTCCAGAAGTCTCTGCTTGAGTTCCCTTTCTGTCTCAAGCTTCTGTTGTAAACTGCGTGCATTCATCTCCAACATAGCATGCTTCTTCTCCAGGTCATTGAGCTAGGCAGGCAGGATAGATGGTCAGAATAACATTGAACACTAATAAATATAGCGCTCCACAATCTTAAAATCCCACTTCACTGAGCACACACTAAAGAAAAATGATACAATTATCCTTTACTTACTATAAGGATAACGAACAACACTGTCGTATGCCATTGCTCAAATGCAGATATCAAGTTATTGAAGGACTTCGCTGTACACCAGGCATCATAGGCTGCTTTCTGCTTTAGCCTTTCTCAAAAGGAAATCTGAGGTCTTTAGCTTGAAGATAGAATTCTATTCTATGACCTCCAGTCTTTTTAATTTGCTCTAACATCTTGAAAAAGCTGCTCAAGACCACATTTCTTCAAGTAATATCTCTAGAAAAGTATCTCATCTAATTATGAAAGTCTAGGGTTGAAAGTTACTTACCTTATCAGAAAGGCTCTCAGCTTTGAGTTTTTGTTCCTTTAGTGCTTGCTGGAGGGCTAGAATCTCTGCCTTGTGTTCTTTGACAGCTAGTTCTACCACCTGGCGAGATTCAGTAATACGCTGATCTGCTCTCACTCTGTATTAAAATGGAAAATAATGTTACCTAACTCCTTTCTGGGCTTGACCTCTTCCTAGCATGCAGTGGCATCAACAACTCTTTCAGGGAGTTGCCTCAAATTCAAGATGTTACTTTATAAAGCCAGACCATTTGCTGCAACGCTTTTATATCATATAACCCTGTTCCTGCCCCTGCTAGAACTGCAGCCTGAAAATTTCAAGACCCCACATGAACAGTTAGGAGCAAAGACTATTTTTCCATATAATAAAGTAGAAGATAATAAATCAAGACATTTTATAAATTACAATGGTAAATGCCACTCCCCACGAATCGCTTACTTGCGAAGAAACAAAAGGAACAATATCACTGGTGAATGACTATTAACTAATAAACCATTTTTAGAACTACCTCACAAGATTTTATATTTAGTTCCAACTCCCATATCCTATTCTAAATATAATTTTTGTACTAGCTTCTATAAAGCATTTTCATAGAAGTTAATAAAAGAGGGGGGAAGGGGGGAGAGACCTGCTCTGTTTCTCAGTATCCAGCATCCTCTGCAACTCTCTAACTCGACATTCAAACTGGGACTTCTCATCCCCTAGAACACTTCTCCATGCTTCCCACTGACGCTCTTTCTCCAAGAGTTCATCATTCAGGGCCTCCAAGTCCATTACTTGCTCTTCCAGCATTGTACATGTTGTCTTCAAGGCCTCCATAGTCTAAAAATAAATCCTCCTATCAATTCTCACATCCCACATCAAGCGTGCACTTTAAGCTTCAGCCTTACCATTTAAATTACAGTACATGCAAATTGGCAGCAAACATAAGCTGGTAAATCACAACCCATTTATTTCAAGGCTTCCATACATTCACTTGTGATTGCTGTTAATGTCAGTTCTATCTCATTATGAAAATTTTGAAATTTCCAGGGTCACAAAATTAAAATTAATAATTCTAAATTACAATATCTTCAGAGTGCAAAATTTCAAAATAAAATTGCATAAAAATACAATGGGAAATACAAAAAATTTCCATTCACTCAACTGCTCTGGGAAGGCAGGCTTAAATGCCATTGCCCCTGGAAGCATATTCATTCCTTATAGGTTTCCATATTTAAAAGAATTTTTTGCCTTTCAGATAATTAGCTAGCTATCACGAAGAAACTGTGATCCAGACTTATAAAGCCTTACTTGTTTCTGACTGGTAAGCTGCATCTCTCTCTCAGTGATCTCTCGACGGAGATGGTCAACTTCACTTCGCAACTGGACAACCTCATCATTGGCCCCTGAGGCCTCATCAAGTTGTTTGGACAGGAAGAAATTCTGATTGTTCAGTTCTGCATTGTCTTCACTGAGCTGGTTCAGCTGCTCTTCCAAATCTGTAATCACCTAGAAAGAAAAATAAATTAAATTACATGTCAGTGAGTACAGTTTTTTGAAAAAGTGTTCTCCTCTCACAGAACCATTTATTGCCAAGCAAGGAGACAACCTGGCTTTTAAATTTTCTCAAATTTAAACAAAAGCAATATTCTAATGGTAGATTTTATGCACAGGAGTGTACTCTGAGTAGGAATAGAGTTTTGTTTCTTACAGAAAATAGCTTGATTTTTTTTTATTTCGTTTAGAGTATAAATATGCTGCAATGCAATTTATTATTTGAGAGAGAACTGTCACATCTAAAGCACTGGATGGGGAGTCAGGAATTCTGTTTGTATTCTCAGATCTGCTGCTGACTTACAGTGTGCCTTTGCCAAAGCACTTTACCTTTTTTTGGCTCAATGTCCCCTTAAGTGAAATGAGGCTAATACCTCTCAGAGAGGCTTCTGAAGCATGATGTTTAAGAAAACTGAACAAGAGGTGCAATGGAGGCAGTACAATCTGGTGAATCTGCCTAGCAATTGTTTATATTACTATATGTAACACTGTATATAACCAGGAAAAGCAGAAAAAATTTAAGACATATTCTATCAAAGTAACAGCATTATGGATGGCAGCATGGGATATATGAAGAAAGAAAAAAGTGTGGCAACACAACAGACTAACAGAAAATCAGTGAAAAGCAAAAACTCAACAAGGACAATAGCCTTGCCTTTAATGAAGTGGAAGCGTCCGTTTGTTTAATCAGAATACCATTATACTGTACACTTTAAACCACATTCCCCTTCAATTTAAAGAAAAACATGAACAACGGTGGGCCATTTTCACAGTCCCGTTTGATTTTTATGAATGAAAGGCCAAGAACACTGGATGGACGAATACCTGTACCTCCTCCTAACTCAAAAATGTCATCCCAAACCGAAGAGAAAGAAACCTCAGTATAATCTTGAAATTAGCTTAATAAAAAGAATTTCAGAAACTGGTAAACTCTATACAATTCATATTCAACTCTTACATATATGTTCTAGAGGCATTTTTTGCCTAGATGTCAAAGAAAAGCGAGTAAGATACTTCATTAAACGGAAAAATTAAAATCCCAGAGCACAGTTGGCCACACATTCAAATTTAAATGTTCCAATTTCCTACACAAGCCAAGGACTTAAATATCTAAAGCAGTAGAGCACAGAGCATACAGCTCTTCTCAGCTATCTGGAAAGATGACAACCATTTCTTTTTGAAGAATCTGTAACGCCTATTTTGGCAGCCTTTTACCATGCCTCTCCGAGACCTAAATTAACAGTATTTGATTTTTAAACTGTCAGCAGAAAAAGTCCAACTGACATTACTCCCTGCTGGGTGAAGGGGAGTTCCTGCTACCCATATGTTCAGGGTCAAATCAAAATGATTCATACTTTAGAACACAACATTTCTAATGAAAATCTGATCGTGTGGTTGTTTCTTGAGCATGCTTACAGCCCTATTCAAAATACACATTTTATTCTGTATTGTATGCATCAAGTTTTCAAAGAACTCAGACTGTATCATAACGATGTGTTAGTGTCTATATTGCTCTAGGGATAAGAACTTAGAAATGTATTTATACAAACAAAAAGGAACAAAAGAACATTTGTTTTTACAGTGTTTTACCTACCATTCTTACAAGTAACTCACATCTCTCACTGAGATTTCTACTAACTGCCAGATAAGATAATCTCTCTTTTTCTTCTACTTGTTTTTATTTTTATGTTTAACCACACCACATATCTAGGCAGTTTTAAGATATATTTTATACATCCATGGTTTCTTCCACATATATTTTATATATCAAGTATTTTCTATAAAATTATTAAACTAGTTTTGAAATACAAGAAAGCAGAGATGGGGGAAACACAAAATGGATAAGATGACATGCGGAGTTAATGTGTCAAACTACTCAACTAATTTTTTAAAACTGGCTGTATTTCAAGTTGATTTTATCCCTTAAAGGCTGGAAGTTAAGCTCCCTTTCACCTTTATTCTATGTTCTGACATTTTGTTTTCCCTAAATATAACTAAAATTAAACCAGACCATTTTATATTTCACTGTTACGTTTTCTCTAGTAGGATATTTCTGGAAAACTTAAGACAAATAACAAAGCAGTTAAGAAAGAGCAGTTGCAGAAATAGTGACATGATCTCCTTTCTTGAGTATTTTCCTAACAGTATATTTATTGACAATTCCAAAATGGCTTGGCTTAAATTCCAAATATATTATAACCTATATAATGTAATCTTTAGAGATTGACAGATTTTAATTTTTTTTAAAGAGAGAAAATTTGTTCTTCTCAGTATAATTTTCCTTTTTTCATGGGGAAAGGGGAAATTTATTAACAAATCCAATTTTTAAAAGCTATCCGCAGCTATGTATAACCCAACAGGGTTACAGAGTTTATAAATACTATAAAGCCTAAATAGTAATGGGTAATACTGACACAGGAAAACGGGACATGGTGTGATATAAATGCCTGTCCTGGGAACCAAGAAGAAAGAAAACACAGATGAAAAAACAGATTTGATAGGAAATGTTGTCTTAGGCATACATACATACACACACCCTATGCCAGAATCCTGCACCTGAAAAGAGTTAATAGCTTTAGGTATTCTTCTTTTCAGTTAAGGAAATCTCCAGGCAAAAAACCCCAATTAAACCAACCAACCAGCCCTGAGCTATTCTGGAGTTAAATTTGAAGTATATTAAAGGAAAGTATGTAAGGAAACACTATTTTATCCTTTAGAACCCCATAATATAATTACAAAAATCTTCAAATTCAAATTTTCTAAAACAACCAAACACTTGAAAGCTTGGAAAAGTGATTCTAGACAATCTAGGCAGCCACTGTTATCTGTGCCACTGTAGCATCACTCACAGAGCAACTGAAATTTTCTCTTCAATCTATGCACATCTTCATCACAACTAATCCACAAAATAGGGATATAATCTAACTACACCAAGCTAATCTTGCAGATTGTTCACTACATGCCACATCTAAGCGCACAACTTATCTTTATACCGATACAGAAGACTATATCTCATTTTTAAATATTACAGAGCAACCCAAGCATAACAGCTCTTCAGCAAAAGTGGCCATATTCAGCACAACTCCCCCCCCATTGCATAGTTTCAGAAAAGCAAAGCGTTTCTCTATTGTGAGATTGCGCAGATTCACAGCTATTATACCTGGCCCTACAAACTTCTCCAGGCATGGATCACAAACCAAATATCATAGCAACAAGCAGTTCAGGGCCGTGATGATTAGGTTTGCATATCAGACACAATGTACTAAATTTAATCCATATGTTCCACATATCAAAACTACAGGCAAAATAATGAGGGAAAAGAGAAAAGGAAGCAGTTTTAGAATACTACTAACTGTAGCTTGCAAACTTCTCCATAACCATATTCCTTCCTGAAGACATCTCAGTTCTCAGATGCCACCAACAAACATGCAGGAAAATGCTAGGACACAGCAAGGTAAACTGTTTCAGGATGCTATCAGCAGCATTTTATTTCGAGTTTAATGTAATTTTTCGTACAACCTTAATTCAGAACTTCTAGGCTAATGCATAGTTTTACTCTATCCGTTTCCACTCCTTCCCACCCCCACCAATCTTTACTAGAAAGCTAGCTGTCAGAAGTAAATAGGAAAACAGAAAAAGCTATCTCTCAGCTCCAAAGTATTGTAAGGAGGAAGCAAAAGCAGGCATCAGACTCGCTTCATCTTAACCTACTCGCATTTGGATCTGAGAGACAAAGCTTTTCTCGCAGAGAAATACCAAGCATTGTAATGGAGCAGAATACCAAGCCTCTTAATGAACACAGCTGCAGCTAGATACCAGTCTTGTATCTCTACCTGTTTGATCAATATATAACAATGAACTCCTCACTTTCTTCCCCTTTCCATAGGCAGACAACATCTGTGACTTGAAACATACCTTACACGGAGATCTCAGTGTCCAAAAACTCATCATGGCTTAGCTTGAGGGACATTGCTCTCTCGTTAGTAGCTGCATAGTAGGACATTGCACAGCCTGCATTCCTCTCCTTCCCACACCAACCCAATATTAAACCATAGTCTCCTGTACTCCTCTATCCTAGTTCCCAGAAGACGAGCTGCCTCTACCAACCATGAGCCTTATCCTCAAATGATGATGATGTCGTCGTCCACGACGTGATGGGTGAACGTCCCATTAGCCTCTTTCACAGCAACACCTCATCAACACCCTAGAAGTTTCTGACTTTTTGTCCGGCTACAAAAACTACAAAGCTCCATTTTTGCCTATAACTGGCATCTGCCATCACGTTTTCTGTGAAATGAGAATCAGAGATAACCACCCAACAGCAAATTTTTTTTTTTTTTTCTTTTTTTGCAAATTTAACAAAGCCATATAAAAGTTTTTGCCTGGGTATTAGCCTTGTTACAGTGGGCAAGATCCCTTTACTCTGAAACATAATTCAGCATCAAGGTATATAAGATCTTTAGACATAATTTCGGAAGTTCTCAAGAACACAGATTATTCTTGTATGCCAACTCATTGAGCCAATGTGGAATTAGGATCGTAGACCAAAGTCAGCAGGACTTTATGCATGACTAAAATTATACATATGCCTAACGGGCTTGCAGATTTAATGCCTCAATATCCAATCTCATAGACAAGTGCAGAATCAAGCCTGTTAATGCTTAAGATAGGAACACAAGATGATGACATAAGAACCTCAGGAGGGAAGATAAACCTTGCTTTATTGGAGAAATCTTGAATAAATGGAAATGCAATATCCAATTAGTATTAAGAAACATCACTCTCCTTGCTAGAGTAAAAGCAACAGCTTGTACCTGAAAAAAAACTAGAAGATTCAGATGGTGGTTCCCTGGAATAGTAATAGTATTTTACTAAGCTGAGTGTAAATATTTTATAGGATTATTTTCTTCTAAATATTTATAGATTTTACCGCCCGCTTACTGAATGTTTTCTTTTTCAAACAATTCTACTATTATTAGATAACTTAGTTGTATTTTTAACTTCAAATGTGTTGGTGATCCAACAACAAGGCATAATTAAGAGGCAGTTGGAAACAACTGAAAAATACGTAAATTTTCCTATTTAAGAAAATGCCTTTTATTTCTAGATCTTTTTCTGATTGCACGGAAAATATTTTTAACACATATTTTTGATAGAATAATTCTTTAAATGTAGAGGACTAGTCCTTCTCCCCTCAACAGATTTGGCTGGATGAGCTATCATTGTGAGAAGATTATGATAAAATATTGCTCTTCGTGTGTGCCCACATGCATCTGTGTGTGTACAGCAGGTACTAAAATTTACAATTTTTATTGCAATGATGTATCCTATTATTTCTTGCACAACTGAGAGACAAAGAAAGCAAATGCTAGCATTTTCTTTTTGACTCCCAATAGTAAAAGAGAGATGTCACAAGATGAAACAATGCAGAGCTATCAGAGCAACTGAATATAAACTCACAAACAAGGCAGAAATTACGACCAACATCACAGCAATGGTCTCTATGTATACACCCCAAAACACAGCAATTTAAAATGAACAAATAGGAGAACCTAAAAAATGTCTACTTGGTCAGAGACCTCAGCAAAAGGAAGAACAAGAGTGCAATGAGGGTACAAGGAAAGCAGATCACACATTTGAGATTTAAGCCTTCTCTACAGTCGGAAGCTGTGACCTTTGTGAAGCTAGAGAAACAGAAGAAATACTAAAGAAAGTAGATTAAGTATTTTTATTTATCTTTTGAATACTATGAAAGTACTGAAGTAATTCAATCTTTCTTTTTTTTTTTTTTTTCCCCTGTCTAATCTCATTTTCATCATTCTTATGCTTTTTTGGGCTTCCCAATAAGACTAAATAAAAAATAATTCCATACCAAAGTTTGCCAGACTAGTTCAAGGAGTTCGTTTCAGCTTAAAAAGGATACCTTTTGAAAACTTGCTAAAAGAATAAACCCACTCATTATCATGCTGCAGAAGTAGCAGCATATTACAATTATTCCCTTGAAGCGTTATCTTATTTTAAAAGGAGTATAAATTGTAATCACCTTCAAGTAGAATCACATGGTCACCAAAAAGCAAAGCCTGCATCATACTGGTCACAATCAGATAAAAATGAGGTTGAAACATCTGGTGAAAGCACCATAATAAACATTCCCTGATCCCTCACTGTCAATAGAAGGTTGTCCTATATTTTCTCTCGGTGCTCCTCAGTAGACAGGGTGGACAGCTAGAACTACTCCTAACACAGAACAAGAACATTTCTATCCACGGTCAATTACATTATACAGGCATTCTTCTAGGCTGGAAAGAGAATGTATGATGAGCATGTATTATTCATTTAGGAACTATTTAATTAATTTCTTATTGATGAGGATGTCTGATCCCACTTATCCCACTGAAGGGCCTTACAATGCACAACACTTTTAGAGATCCTTTTATGTGGAACCTTTGAAGCTCTCAACATTCTTGAAATGCTATGGGTCACTCTTCACTACTGGAGATTGTTCACCACGCTTACAGAGCCAAAGTGTTACTAGATAATGAGTTACAACCTCTGAAAGGCAGCCTACCATGCAGTGAAAAGAAGCTACAGATTTTCCACAACTCGTTTTTGCCTGCATGGAGATCATATAAGCATTTTCATAGAAAGTTATCATTCTGTATGAAGGGCAAGATAGAACAAAAGAAGATAGCTATGGATGTAAGATATATGATAGCACATACGGAGCTAGAGGATCAATCTAAGTAAACAAAGAAGGGAACAAAAAGTAAAGTTTCTTGTGCAGGATTTCTTTTAGCTAGAGGTTAACACACTTTAAGCTCTACTTCCTCATTTCTTCATATCAGGATATTCTATGAACGGAATAGAAGAATCCCTTTTGCTTAGTGCTAAAGAGCAACTGAGGAAAACAGAGTAACTCTCATCCTGAAAAGATATTTTTGAAAGGTGAAAACTTGTACATTAGATACCTAGTCCTACAGCATGAAAAATTAAGTTTGAGGAAATCAGTGCAAGTAGGGAAACAATCAAGATAAAAAAACCCCAGCAATCAAGCCCCGCTTACAGGGTGGGGTAAGGAGAAAAAGCCTAGAAAGATCAGCAATCAATGCTGATCCAGAGGACTGTGGTCCTTATTCAATACTTTTGTAATTCATGTCATTGGAAGACAGATGGCCTCCATCAACCATCATAAACAAGTTTGAAAATAGTGTTAATCTGCAAGAATCCCTATTGACAGACAAACCCTCGGACATCTGTCCTGGATTGATGAAATGAAGCTAAAAACATGTCAAAAGATCTCAAGCAATAGAAGGTGCAAATTAAGATCCTAGAGTCCTCTCTGCTCTTTGAGCAGATGACTACATGTCAATGTATTATTTGGACCCGTAACATTTCTTGCCTCTTCAAACAGTGTTAAAGTCCTCCTTAAAACCCAGAGTAGCACGAAGGCTCTTCCACTGTGGCCTAGATCTACAATCTAGCTCAGGATTTGGACAGGTATACCTTTTCTTCTCGTGAGCAGAAATGATCTGCACCTACAATCATTTTTTGCAGCTGCTACACCATTCTTATTAGCTGCACTGCAATGAGATATTTTAATTTACTTTCTTCTCCAAAAAGAAGAATAGTGTCAATTTCACGATCAGACTAAAACCTCAAAATTGAGGTTTACCTGAAACCTAAAAGAAATCAAATCCAATCCGTCTAGCTCCTACTAACACCTTGAAGCCAGAAGTCCACATTAGGAACTAGTGTCATCAAGGATTAAATAAGTAAATTGATTAAATAAGTAAATTGTTTTTTTCCTTATCCTTAATTTCAAAATAATTCAATGATCTGTATTTAATACTCACTGTGCAGCTATTACGAAGGGCTTCAAATTTACGCTGGATTTCATCTCTATGTGCCTAAAGGAGGTAAGAAGTTAATCATCAATTTTTCATACATTAGAATTCGAATCCAACAGCTGTTGCTAAACAAACTGCAGAACAATCTACCAGCAAGCAAAGTTTGAAAGGCAGATGCTGCAGGCTATGAAAGCACTCTGTAGTGGCAAAGAACTGATTAGCAAAAGTCACATCCTACTTAATCAAAATACACTTATGCTTCCAATTCTGAACTACTTTAGAAAAATGTACAAACTCAAGAACTGAATTATGTAAAAGGTTCCATCTGAAATGGTCACCAGAAGACATGTCGATTCCATGTTAAGTTTGTACATTCTTGACATTTAAATTTGAGTTGGTTTTACTTCCATATCCAGATTGGTATTTCATACAAAATAAATACCGCATACAATTTAACACTTGCAAAGAAAAACTGTAATGAAGTATTATGCAAGCTATCCCAAACAGCTCTGCCAATCCTACCGTAAAGTACCATTTAATCCTGAGCCTCTCTAAAAAGCAGTGATGAAACATAATAATCAATTCTTTGGAAGACAGCATCCAAAGTGTGGAAAAGTGCAAACATTTATTTTAAAGAATGCAGTATTGCATGCACCATTTTACCTCCTAATTTACAAGCAAAGCATGACAAAGCAAAAGTTCTTGTTTCAGCCTCATGGCCTTTCTCAAAATTTATCAAACTGATTTAACAAATGTTATATGCTGTCTGAAAACATAACAAATGAAAGGTTAGTGCACTAGTACATCCAGCCACCTTTCTTCATTCAGAACATTTTCCTTAGAGCCAAGAGACTAAACAGGAAAAAACTGTTCAGCAGAAGTCAAATATGAGAGCTAAAAAGCTATCTTACCACAACAGGCAATGTGAAAAATAAAGTATATTAAAAAAATCCATAACAAATATGCCCAAGCCCACTGAACTGGACTATCTTACAACAGCTGGTCCAAAAGCACTACCATTTTGCCAAATTAACTGAAGCAATAACTGAGTGAACACAGGTCATAAATATTCATCTGTTTCACTGGTGGTGTAGGGTAAAGATATCAAGCACATCGCCATCCCATTGGCAGTGATATTAGTTGTTATGCAAAGCTTTCAGCTGGGAGGGGACCGCCTCAGTTTTGAGCAAAAAAGAAACCGATGCCATGTTCTGTTCGGTTATTCGTAAGCCTTGATGTTGTTGCTGTACTTTCCCAGCATGTACCCGCTTTAGAACAACTCTGAGTGAACGGTTCTCCCATTCATCTACCCAAAGCATCAACATAATACAAGCACCTATCTCAGCTGAGCCCACCATCCTTTCCGAAAAATAGCAACGGCAGAAATATTCGGAACAGTTCTTTGATCAAATGCCACTGGAGCAAGAGAATGCACATTTTCAACACTTCAAAATAACTGGATTTGAAGGTCATTTAAGACTGCTGCTCAATGGGGGTTAGCTGGTAACAGGTCATATACTTCTCCACCCTTTCCCCCCACAGTCCTGGGAATCTTTTATGAAGGAAATATTTCTTAGAATCGAGCAGTTTGAAACCATCTTTTTGTACTTAAGAGACAGCAACCGGCAGCATATAATTTAGAATTCCATTTACTGGGAGTGGGGGAAAAAAAGAAAGGAGGGGGGCAGGAATTGAACTTTTTTTTTCCTTTATATCATTCACACACCTCACCAGAGACTGCAAGACACACGTGACAATTTTTAATGAAATAAGCATTGGAATAAAATTACGTGCTAACAACACTATTTTCCCAGGAATTTGTTTTTGGTTTTTTTTTCCCAAATAAGTATCCTCAAAGCAGGGTAACTGATAGGAAGGAAAAAAAAAAAAAATCATCAAAACATTTATGATCATCAAGTACTTTCAAACTCACGAGATATTATTCAAATAAGTAAATCACAGAGTAAAACTCCTAACAATAACAATTTCATATACAACTTTCACCTCATCACAAAAGTAATAATCCTCTTACAGTCAATCAGTTTTGGCAGCAATGAATCACTACTAGGAAGCATTCATACAGTTAAAAATAAGACAGACAAAATTTGACATTTTAGCCATTCCTGCCTCTATCAACACAAGGCACAATTCATATCCTGTTCTGAAAATTAAAAATTAAATAGTATAAATTAATTTTAACCTCTTTATGAAACATGCACCTACATAGTTCTAATCTGTACATATAGCTCATAGTACAAATTTTAGGGCTCACCGTGAGAGCTTGAATCTCTTCCTCTGCCTCAGCTGTAGTCTCCTCTAGTTCAGTTTTGGCTTCGCGGAGCTGATTCTCCAGGGCTGTCCGTGCAGCCTGCAGCCCAGTAATTTGAGATTCCCGCTCCTGGAGTGTCAGCTGCAATTCTGTCAACTGCCTTTTGAGTTCCAGCTTTTGTTCTTCATGCTCTAGACTAACCTGAAGAAAGAAGAAGTAGCATCCAAATATCAGTTACCAACAAAGAAAATATAGGTAATGTAATCTCATTTCAGACCTCACTTTAAGATGCCATTGCCATGTCTATCCCAAAAATCACATCTTGACAGATTGCTTAAGTCACTGAGAACTCAAGGATGCAGCTTTGTCTACTACCTAAAAACTACTGGTTTGCTTTGAAAAAGGTTAAAAGCAACCTGGCATTTTGAAACAACAACAAGGGCACAATGGTTCCAGCTGCAACTCCAATATCACATATCAAATGTTGATACAAAAAGCATAAAAGTTGAAGCAGTTTGTGATGAACTTTCTTCAGTGAAATTGAGAATCCTTAAGAATCTTTATTTGAGAACCTTTAAGCATAAACATCAATACTAATCTTTAGGTGTATGTAAACATTACATAAGTTTTGCAATTTACTTTCATATTTCATTTTCCCTTCAGATGCTTTTTAAAGAAACCAACCAGATCATCTAGCTCTGGGTTTATTTGAATGGCTTCTGTTGAAAGTTTTTGTGAGGCATACTCAGGGATAAACATGTCATTTCCAGAAATGGACAAGAAATGAACAAGCAGCAGAACGGATCTCAGTGCTCAAAATCAATTCCAGACCTTAGCACCTTCTTCAGGCTGTCTGCTATCCCAAGTGAATCTCTCTGTTGTGCTGTAGATGCGCGACAAGCCTGCCAGAAATCTTACACTGGTCCCAACCAACTTCCGGTCAAACAAGGACATGTGTTGGTCGTCCAACCCTCTTAGCTAAAGGCAAGATTTCAGTCTTAGCTGAAAATTAGTGGAGTGAGACTGGAGAAGGTAAAAGAAGATTTGAAGTGGATCCAAACTAGTTGATACGAAACTAAAAATGAAGCACAGCTCACAAATCTTTAAAAACGCGTATTTTCATATTACTGTTAGGTTTCTTTTCCAGAAAACTTCTGAAAAATGTGCATGAAGTAACAGGTCTCCTGTTTTCTCACAGCAATTCTGTTGTGTCCTTTGCTTTCTATTCTGTAGACTCTAAGGCTATGGTTAAGCAGGTCATTGTACATAGCTAAGCTTTTATTCTCTACCCATAACTGCTCTAGCTGGACAACATTATAAGGATATTGTACAAAAAACCATAAATATGATTCTGAGAAAGCAGGATGATCTAAAAGCTCAGATTCAGTTAGGTCTAAGAATGACAAATCCTTAATACTTACTTTCATCTCCTTCTAGTGAGCAATTTTAAATTTTTTTTTTTTTTTTCTCCTAGGGAAAAAAAAGTACTGCTAGACCAAACTAAATTAATACACCTCAAAATACCATTTTTTATGACACACAGAACTAAAGCAACTTAATTCTAGTTCTCACTATAATACTCAAAGTGGGGTACATTCAAGTAAGTTTGTTTGGAGGGATTAAACCCAAGTTTTCACCTCTCGCAGCCTAGTCTCTAACTCCAGCAGACGGTTCTTGTCAGTGTGATCTTGGTGACTCATCTTTTCCAATTGTTCTTCTAATTTTCGATTCTGGGCCTCTAACTTTCCAGCTTGTGTTTCCAAGTAGAACTTCTGTTGCCTGAGCTCTGAAATCATCTCCTCTTGGGCTTTCCTGATAGGAGAAAAGCACAAGTGACAAACCCAAAATGTCCTTTCACTGGGGTGAAGTAAGGAATAATAAACTACGACTTTCCTGTTAAGTAGAATAGTTAAGCTCATAGCTTAAATTCTACATCCCAACTAAAAAAAAAAAAAAAAGTCAACTCTCTATTCCTGTCTGCAAAAGATCCATGTACTAGTGTATTCATCAACATACGCCCAGAGCACTAAAATTCCATGTTTGCAAGTTATACAGAAAAATTAATCTTGTACGTAGTAATCTACAACAATATTTAAGCTACAGTTCATTCTTCTCATTCCACCAATTCCTTGTTACATGTTTTTCTATACAGGAAAAATAAATGCCAAGAATAGTTGCTTTCACACAATGTATTTCCATGAGATAAGAGAAATCCTATGGTTTAGGGGAGTAGCGTGTTGTGGTTGTTTTGTTGGGTTTTTTCAAGTTGTAATGGACCTAGAACTTGACCTAAGTTGAAGTGAAGCTTTATTCTCTCTGATCAAAGTCTTAATCTACAAAGTGAACAAAAATAATTACTTGTGCTCAAAAGAATTTTGATTAATTATTACCATAAGAATTTGAAATGGATACCTTCATTAAAAAAAAAAAAAGAAGGGAAAAAAGGTCTTTCTACATTATTTACAATTCCTGGAATCATTTTATCATGCATTGGAAAATTCTGCATCATAGTGTGCTTTCTACTTAGAAGTCTCACAAAGCTCTACATATATTAATGAATTAATATTTTAAGAAGTTCACTGTGAGATAAGCTGTTATTAATCCTATCCCAGAGAAATTATGTGGGTTACCCAAGATCAAATAAGAAGACTTAACAAAACTAAAAATAGAACTTAAGTCTTCTGACTCACATTTCTATGCATTGCACACAAAACCACCCTTTCACCCTTTCTCTTTTTTTAATTTACCTCTACAGATTATTGCCAGCCAGAACTGTCAAATGGTGGTGTTATTTCACTTCCTACTGTTTACTGGGCTATCTTCTCAGGAACCTGATAATCATTAGTTTCCTCAGATACTGATGGAACAAAAGCTAGCAGAGTTCCCCTCTCTTCTGAGGCATTTAATCACTAGTTCTCTTCAAACATGCTCAGATTAGCTGTAGCTTTTGTTGATTCAAAATACAGTCCAACAACAGATTTATACATTTCCACCACCACAATTCACAAAACAAGCACAAAATCATTAGCTATCTGTATGCATAATAAAGCAATTTTCTCTTAAAATGCTGTTAATTCTGCACTATCTTCTACCAATCCTGCAAAATTATCTTACTTGACAATATGTCTCTCAATAATCTATTCTAAGTTGTATGTTAAAACATTATTATATCTTTTTCTTGTTTTCTATGGATCTCCAGTCAAGTGTCCTGCATCTAGCTCAGCTAAGTTCTTACACTCAGTTCAGGACCAATGACTGTGACACTAGACCTTGCATATGCTTCCCAGGTACACGTTGAGACAATACTTGTGTTTTATTTCAGACTGAAGGTAAGTCACAGTTTTTGCTGCCTCAAAAACTTCCTGGGTGATTAACTGGAGGTCGTCTGGAGCATAAAGCAACACAATTAAATTTCTCAGTTATTTCTGTGAATGTTTTTGGCTGCTCAGGCTAAAATAACTTGCCAGGTATTTGAAATACAACAAAAGTTGGAGCCATTACATATCTGGAGGCATAATCACCACTGAAAAGGAAAAAACCAAAGCAACCCTGTGCCAAAATTCATCCTTGCTTGATTCTATACAATATTATAGATGAATCTATCCAAGCGCTTCCCACAGAGACACTACCTGACATTACATCCAGCAGTTGACGGACACTGAAAACCTTTCTGTAGACAGCCAAAGCTGATAAATCTCTTAACTCAGTAAAAGCATATACTACTTTAGCCCTACCTTGCAGAACATATCAAACAATCCGCACTTTTTCCTATACTTGAAGTAGAAGAATGCCTTTAAGTCATTTATGAAGGAAAATCATCTTTATAAAGACAAGGAATCTCAGCTAAAATCCAACGCAAAACAAAGTTTCAGGCAGACAAAAAGATCTGACACATTTCCTCTGTGTTTAATAAATAGGAATTCACCACAAGAACAATTGCTCATTACACAGCGATTCAAGATGACATTAGATCTTGACCAGTAGCATACCCCAAAAACACTGAACTGACTGTTACACCAGTCATTGATGAGAAATAAAGACAAGCTGAAGCCGAGAAGGCAATAGAGATATATGCAAGTGCTATCTAGGTTAGGAAGAAAACAAAATGAATTGAAGCAGCATTCTGAAGCTGAAGCTTGGGTATCTCCCACTTCACATTACTTCTGCCCGTTTCAGTAAGAAAATATCTCACTCTTGCAACTGGCAATTCAAAAACATGCAGAAAAACTCTCGCCTTAAAAATCTAGTTTTCTTACTTGTCTTCTCACCCATCAGGGCAGGATGGAATGTTTGTGAAAGAAAGGTGTTTAATGTTTTCAATTTCAACATCATGTAACTGTCACAGGAACCAAGGAAAATATAAATCTCTTAGCAATATGTATGTTCAAAAAAGGAATATATGCTTCTCCAGGCGTATTTTAGTCATTAAAATTACTAGTATTCATTTAACATGTTTGGTAAACCTGCACAAAGCACAGCCTTAGGAAACGCTCCAAAGTAAACATTGTAATACAAACCAATTTTCCTAGTCATGTTTGAGGAAACACAAAATACGCAGTGAACCACAACTATTTGAAGAACAAGCATATTTTTGCATCACTGAAAAACAAGCAGGGAGAACAGCATGCCTGCAAAAAAGAACCACTTTTACATTAAGAGAACAGATCTTACTGAGAACTGTTCAGTAGCGACCAGTATTGATAGGAGTTGCTATACTTACATGTTCCTCTGGGTAAAAAGGCTGCTATTTGCTGCCAGTTTATTGGCCTCAGACAATTCCACTATTCTCTGCTCCAATGACCTAATCTTCGAATCCATTGCATTGATCATCTGAAACAGAGCAATGTGCCTTTGAGACTGTGCAATAGAAGTGATTATAAAAACAATGTTTAAAAAAAAGTCTGAACTTTTTCCAGAAACAAAAAGAAATAAAAGAAAACCAATCAAATCGTCAAAAGAGCATCACAGATGCAATTACTAGAGCTATTTACAACTGCTGTCTACTGCTTTAATATTAGGAGAAAGCAACCATTATATTATCAATGCACAAAATGATGGGTACGCAGCAAGCTACGTGGCTACTTTTAAGGAAATATTCTTGAAGATACCTTGAATTAAAAAAACATGTCTTTTAAAAGTAGTATTAATCAGTGGATTTCCTTCAAAACAGCTCAGCAGCACTACAAAACCTCAAAAAAGATTATCTTGCTTGAATCAGAGTCTCAGAAAGCTACTCTTAAAATTCAATTCAACTATACATACCGCCTTCTGTTCAGCCAGGACTTTACATTTCTCACGTGCTTCTTCTTCATGTCTTCTGAGCATATTCTCAAGTGCTTCCTTATCTGCAAGATCTTTCTTCATCTGATTTTCCAACACCTAAATGAAGAGATTTCTTTTGTCTAAATTATATCTGTTTCACTGGGCAAAGGGCAAGCAGAAAGAAAATCATCAAGAAAGATAGAATTTTTTTTTTTAAGCAATTGATCATCTCTCAAGCAAAATTAAACCCAAGACGCAATTGCATGAAATCCATGGAAGAGCAAACTCCAAAAAAGAGCATTCCCTCAGTTACCTCCAAAGACTGAATTTAATGATGGAATTTTATGAACACATGGAGATACTGTAGATTTTTTTAATTATTAAGTCATATAAACTGTGTTCAAGAAATATTCCAGACTAATGCAACAGAAAACAGAAAAACTCTATACCCCAATATGCATAGTAGAGAAAGTAAGGAAGTGCAGATCCTTTGGCTGCCCTACCAATATGGCTCAGAAGTAATCTGTAAGTTCCGTAAGTATGCATGAGCAACTGAGACCCCATGAATTCTTCAAGTCGGAGACACCAAATGAAACAGCTAAGTAAAAGACTTCTTTTTGTGGCACGAATACCTGTCATTAGGAACAGGACTAAAGTAACCAATTGTTACATTTTTTTAAAAATGCATGTTATGTATGCTTGTCCAGAGCTTTAAATTAGCTGTTAAACTGAAAGTCATTTCCTTCAAAGACAAGTTTTCAAAGGCACAAAGTCTGGACACCACAGGATATTTTTTACTGTTCCAGTTACAAACATTCCATGTCCTCTTTCATCCTCTTGAACCTTTTTCACCTGGTTTCCTGATTCCTCCTACTAAACCCTGTATCACATGTCCCTGTAACACACTGGCTCTCTTTTTCTTTTAATTCTTTTTCCAATCCCTATCCTCTTTTCCAGTTTTTATGTCACCATTTCTCCTTTCCCAACATCTACCTCTGATCTTCCTGCTTTCTATCACTCTCCTCTCATTACTGATTACCACATGCTCTGGCCTGCCAGGAGACCTTCTTACTTCTCTTTTTTTCCTTCATTTTTCTCCCATAGAAATTCCTTCTCTCCTCTTAAATACTACAGCCTCTCACATTTAAGCCGAAATGTAGAGTTAAAGTCCTAGGTAAACATACTAGATAAAGATTGCTGAAAACAGATTATGCTTAGTAGAAACAAAGATTCTTACAAAATGCATTTACTGGCTGACATACTGCAGGTTCTTTAGAAAAATCCTTAGCCAGTGCACATACTCCTATTTCCCAATTTGTTTTTCCTAATTTCAGATGGTGTCTATGATTCTATTTCCAACTGTTTGTTAGTCTTATGCTACCCTGGAAAAGACAAAAACAAAGTGGGCGGTTTCTGTGGCTCCTTGGCAGATGTTACAGCTCCAAGAAGATGGAATTTCAAGAAACTCAGTATTTGCTGAGTTTAAAACTTGCAGGTAGGCTGTGTGAATACTCTTAGAAAATCATCCGTAGGAACTGAAAGCTTTTTCAGGATGTGAGACCCAATAGCATTAAGTAAGTATTATTTAGTCAGCAATAGTCAAATTACAATCAACAACTGCCTTCCTATAGTTCTGACTTCAAATGCCACCTGTTTTAATGCAGTGCTAAAGACAGATAAGGTACAATGGCATGGACTAGAAGAAAAACTTATTCAGATTCCACTAAGCTCTCTGAACATTTCAGTAGTGGTAAGCAAGAAGGCAACTCATAAGACAAAGCAATCAGAGCCTAAAGGCAACTGTTTTTCCCTGAACTCACTCTACCCACAAAAGCTTGTAGAAGATAATAAGAAGATATTTTTACTTTGAGTTTTTCCTCATAGAATTGTTCCTTCTGTTTCAGCTGCAACTCCAGATGTTGTGCTGCGATCTGAGCCTCACGATGCTTTTCTTCCAGCTCCTAAAAGCAGCAGAGATTCATATTCAGAGACAAAGAAATAGTAGGTGCTGTGTGTGTGTGTTACACACGTATCAAACATTCATTCATTCTCTTTTTTAAGGCTTCACATAATAAAAATCCCAAGGCCAGGGCTGTCGTAGTAAAAAAACATTATGAGAGCTGCACACTATCAGTTTTAAACTTTGCATATCGCTGCTGACCCATCTACTGTAGAGCAGATATACTGCTAAAGACAAAGACTTCTACTTTCACAGTAAGAATCTCCATTTCCCAGTAAAATATTCCCAAAGATGGGCCAAGGATGTTTTGTGAAAACAAGCAGTTATAAACACTTTATAGCTGCAGTGGCATCACAGGAAGCTCAAATCTACTTTTAACAAGGTCTCTCACTTGTTTTCTCACAGAAGACCTCAGTAATGGGGTACAGCTGTCTATGCTGTTCATTCTACATTCATAGAGTGGGAATAGTATTTACTTTGCCACATTCCTCAGACAAATGTTGTCAGAATAACTATTTATAAATTGCTTGGAAACTGAAAGTGCAGGATGCAATATATATGGTAGAACATACCAGAATATTTTTAACCTCTTTACTTCACATCAGATAGTTTGAGCCATGCACAGGAAGGACTTAAATAAATCTGTATCTCAGAAGTTAGCTAGTTCTGCCGTCAGACTATATTATTCAGGATATATCTATAATCACCTTTCAACAGGACACCTCGCAAGAGTTGAGCTCATTCATTGTCATATTTGCCATTCCAACAATTTCCTTAGAACAAGAGGCAGATCCAGGTCTGTCATTCACTACCGCTGGATTGACACGTGCATAAACAAGTTCAGGTTTTGAGATGCATCCAGGTCTCCTGTCTGCCTTCATTACTGCATAGCACAGGAAAATTTTCTGATATTTCTACTTCAACTCTTTTCATATTCTCTTTTCTGATCTTCCTCATCTTGAAAACATACAAAGACTTTTCTGCTCCAGAAATTGCAATAGACCTCTTTTTCCAGAATTGAGAATCAAAGAGGAGGTTCACCAAAAGTAGGTCATCTACAGTGCCTAGTACCCGACACTTCTGCAAGGAATGGAGATTGCTGCTTTTTGCAATTGAAATACGTCTCCGAGCAACAAGAGGGACAACTCACCTCCCCCAGAAGCCCACATGTTTCAGGTCCTGGCAGAGAATCTGACAACTGGATGATCAGCAGCTTCAAAGCTACCAGCATCAGACTGCTCATATTGTAGCAGAAGGTTCCAGTTTCTGCAGTGGCACTTAACAGCCAATGTGGGCTAAAAAAGGTAATCTCTTACCATTCCAGTTCTCACTTACTATTCTCTACGCAGTGCTAACTTTGTTATTAGCAACATATCAATGATCTACACTTTCAAGCAGTAATAAGTATCTTCTCTAACTTATTTCTTACTTCTTATTCAATTCTCTACAGGCAGATCAGCAGGTACTTCTCAGGTACTGCTAGATGAGTGTACATGAAACCAATGCCTTTATTCAACAATTTCCACCTTATTCTATGCAATTCTGTATCTTCAGCTCCCTTCCTATCTTTCTATATCAGGAAAAGTCAAAAGTGTTTGAAGAGATCAACTTGAGGGAACGAACAGGGTAGAAGTGGAGAAAAAAGAAAACTATTACTCTGTGCTCCCAGATCAGAGCTGCAAGGGACTAGGAAAGACTCTCTAGGATTTCTTCTTCAATGCCTGTTTGACCTTTTTATAAAATACTTTTGTCTCCAACATTCTGTCAGAACTCCATGGAAACTACCTATAAGAAGCCCTAAACGTATCCTATGGTGTAAAACAATTAATCGATATTTCTGCATTCCCTTCCAGTTTTTCCTCCACAGAGAACGTAATCAAAACCAAGGAACAATCCCCAAATGTACACAAGAGGCTTATGAAACAATTCAAAGTTTTACACTATTTCTAAACATAAAGTTGGCTCTGTGCCCAGCAAAACCATAGTCTCCCACTTACCATGCACTCATGTTATCAAAACAATTTGAAAGAAACAGCACTACTGAAGAACTGAATCTACCTTTTCTTGAGGGCGCTCAGGCATTCTGATGCTGAAATCTACACATGCAGCTATTACCCAGAACAAGTATGGGTCATCTGTTGACTCCAAATACGGTTATTTATACATTTCCATTTGGCCTTCCTCAGGTGTGTCTATGCTCAGGATTGCTACCAATAAAAAGTAATCTTTTTTCCCTTGTCATATTGGCAACACAGAAACACAACTCATGAGAAACACAAAATTAATTTAAATACTCCACTATAAAATTATGCTTCCTGCCCCAGTGAAGTAAAAGTATTAGAAACACCCTCTGCTTGGTTCACTGTAGACTGACATACCAACTCGCTGTAGAGATTTAATAGGTTTAACAAGGAGAGAAACAAGAAACTGCCAGAGAAGTTATGTGGGTGAAAATGGATTCCTGACAAATATTATCTTTGGAGATGAACAGTTTAGATGACTAATTTCTCTCTGCTTCAAAATGTAAGCATTTGAAGTAGATCTGACCTCTAAATTCCTTTGCAATTTAGTTTAAAAGCTAGATATCAATGATTTTATTGTTGCAGTATCCTGCAACAATAGTATTGAGAATGTTTTACTTCTGAAACAATTATTAGGTAATTAATTTAAATATTACTAATTTGACTTAAAAGTGCTCCCACTGAGACAACTAGAATTTTAAAGTAGTATTAAGACTAAAGGTACATATCTTTATCAACGATCCGGATGAGGGG